CTGGCAATCGAGTGTACGTCACAACCTCGGTCAGCATGATGCGTTCATGAAAGGTGATAAAGAGGGCAAGGGCTACCTCTGGAGAATCAATCCCGAAGTTTCGATCGAAAAGGAGCGCAGGAAGAGGCAAGCCAGTCCTCCGCTAAACCATGCCCCACGACCACCGTACTACCAGCCACCAAACGGTTACCAGCCGTACCCTCAGCCTGGGTATGGATACCACCCGGGCATGCCTCATGCAATGCCACAGCCACCTCCCAGACTGCCGCCTAGCCTTTCGCAGCCTCGCTTACCACCCAGCATGACTCGCAACGAAGGTAACTCAGCTGCGTCGGCCACGCCCCAGAACGCGCCCCATCCCTCGCCTTACGCTTCTCCGTGGGGCGGCGGTGGTAATACAGCTGGAAGTCCACCCGCCCCGAACCCTCCACGACCGTATCCGCAGCCTAACCCGCAGGCTCCACCAGCATCTTCAGCAGCTGGTTCAAGTGGTCAATATGGCGTCCTCTATCCCACGGCCGCCCCACAACAGTCGCCGTACAGCGGACCCTCGGCACCGAGCCCTTACGGTGGGCCATATGCCAATGCCGGTGCCAGCCCGTATGGTCCTGGGCTGCCTCGTCCCTATGCAGCATATCCCCCACAGGGCCAGCAGTCGAATGCTCCTTCGGCGTCGCAGCCGCAGTCTTCGGCATCACCTTACGGCCCGCCCCCGCCTCAGCCACACTCGCACCAAGGTTCGACAAATGATACTGCAGCGCCTCATCCGTCTGGACGTTACCCAATCGGAGTTCATCCAGACCTCATTCGGCAGCTTGAAGCGTATAGGGACGTTTATCTTAAGCAGCGTACGGGCCCCGAGGAGCAAAAGAAGGTGGACAATGCGATCAGAGCTTGCGTAGACAGGACTGTACCCGAGTCGACTCTGACGGAAGCGGAGCGTAAGTTGCTCGTATCCATTTGCGGAGTCGAGAGCATCAACAAGCATGTCAAAAGGGCACCTGATGTCAAGGATGAAGACGAAGCAAGTACTGCGGCAGCCTTTGCTGCCGCGGGTGCTGCCGCGAACACTGTGTCTCAGCAATACCAGCCTCCGACCCAAGCTGCACATCCAACAGGCAGTGCGTCTCCAGCCCCGCCACGCGACAACAGCGAACCGCAAAAGTTTACGCCCAACATGACCGGTGCATCACCTTCCACGCCCACGGCCGCGGCGCCATCAACTGCGGCACCAGCGCCTCCCATGGCCGCTATGCCTTCGCACCGCCCGAGCGTCGAGCCGATTACGCCAGTTCCTGGGTCGCCAGCAGTTCAAATGGGCACTCCGATGCGGCGCCCAATGACCGAGTTGACCGCAGACAGCACACCAGACGCGGACGAAGCGAAGAAGCCAGAGGATAGTCAGGATGCGCCAAAGAAGACTGACTAGTGTTCCGTTTTCTGGCCCTTTGCTCTTTGACAACATTTCGCCCACGCCCTGCTGCGGTCTGTGCGCGTCGCTCATCCCTTCCCTCATCTGATCAGCGTTCCAAGCTCTTTTCGGAACCCCAGCATTTGACATTCGGCGTTCTAAGCGGCAAGCATTTTGGCTTGCCCCCCAACTCATTGATTATGATACCCTTGAACAGCGTAGCTTGGTTGGGGGTTCATGGTTTTTATCAAAAGTGGAATTTTTCGTCGCGTAAGCTTTTTTTTACGTCGATATGGGATACATGCGTTATGGTATACATGACTGTTTCGAGTAGATAGATGATAGTGTAGTAACGACGACGGTATCGAGTCGTCTCAAAAATGAAATATGTATATACGCGTACATGTCTTGCTTTGCTCTGATTGCAGGGTGTGTGGAGTCCTGATGTTGAATGACCTGACTGAGTTAGTCTTTAGTGTTTCGACTGCAGCCTGAAAACGCCTCGCCAGGGCTCCGACGCGCGGTCAAGAGTTCATTCTGTCTACATGTGTCGATGCCTGATTTGAAATGAGTAGTTGCCTGGGCGTGTCCTCCCAGAGGCCGCGGCATGCAGAGAACTCAGACGTCAAGCCTCCAGAAAGCACAGCAAGTTTGTAGGTTAGAATTTCCAAATGTAGAGTATGACATTGCAAGGTATATCCCGCCTTATCTCATAGGTAGAGCAAGTTCCCCTTCACAAAATCCAAAGCCCAAATGCAGCGATTATATATAGGAAAGGAGAAGCGAAAGCCCAAGATGCCGCTTCTGCTGATATCGCCGTACGCCTGAAAACCCTCCCAGCTACGCGCAGTCGCTATGCTCGCATTACAGCGATAGTCTGAGCCTCTGCCATACGCTTACATGGCCATCTCGGCCTGCAGCTTCCGCAGCTCCTCCTCTTCGTCGTCCTCCTCGACCCGCTGCGGGGCCTTGATGTTGGTATTCGGCGCTTGCGGTAGCTTCTGTGACGAGGGGGCGTCGTGGATGGGCACGTTGCCTGTGTTGAGCATTTGCTCGTCGAGCTTCTCTTGTTGTAGCTCGGCGAGCTCTTCGTCCAGCTCGTCTTCGTCGATGCCGTTTGCGCCGACGCCCGAGGTGATGGCTTCGCTGATTTCTTCGCCGATTGCGTGTTGTTCGCGGAGGTCCTCCCTGCGCGTCTTGTTAGCAAGTTGGTTTGTGGGAATTTGGTTGTGGAAGTGGCGTACATGACGTTGTCGACTTTGTCGATGGTCAGGCCGGCGTGTATCTCCTTCATGGCCTTTCCTGCGCTCTTCATTGCTTCCATCGTCTCCTTGTTGATGTTGGCCGTCTCGATGGAGTAGATCTCTTTTTCTAGGGTCATAATCTGTGCGCTCGTCTGCTCGAGTGAGTGCTCGAACTGCTTCTTTCGCCGTAACGCGGATTTCGCGGCTGCAGCAGGCGTTAGCGACTGTGCCAGGAAGCCTAATCCAGATGGATATACCTTGCTTGTTGGAAGAGACAAATTTCCGTGCGAGCGCATCTTGCTCATCCATCTGGTTTTGCAGGTGCTTCTCTCTCTTGTTCAGCATCTCAAGCTGGCCTCGAAGCTGGAGGATGGCCTTCTTTGGCGCCTCCTTCTTCGCCTGGCCACCGCCAAACCAGCCCAGGCCCCAGCCGCTCATATTTAAGTTGTCTTGAAGGTTGTAATTAGCAGCTGTTGCTCGTATGGTCCTATCGGGCGCCCATGCAGGAGACTCGGAGCCTATCAGAGGGTGGGATGGCGGGGCTGCGGGGATGGTGGGTGCCTTGAACGTACTGTGTGGAAATGCGGGAGATTTCAGAGGTGCGATAGGTGCGAGAGTTGCGCAGAGGGTTGAGTTGTTGCAGCGGCGGCGTGGTCGTGATTGAAGGGTGCCTGGCTGGTCATGAATCGGGCCTGGATGCACGAGGGTATGATGTCGTCTGCGCTAACCATGGCACGTGCATCCGTGCACTTCGGCCGCGGCTCTAGTTTCCACCGCATTCTGCGCGCGCTCCTTCAGGCACAATGTCTGGTCCCGTTGCTTCAAATCTGGTGTTGTTGAGTGACTTGCCCCGATGTGCGCAGGGCACCAAAGTCCGCTTTCTGGGCTGGTACATGGAGTGAAAGCCATAGCTGCCACAGAGACTGACTGCGCTGCAGCATCGATGAGTACGTCACTAAGACCGCGACACTGCGGCTCAAGCACAACTATCCGATATCTGATCCGCCTGTCATCGCGAATCTCGATATCGAACATGTGCTCGAGCGAATTAAGGAACTCAACATAGACGTGGGGACATGGCTCAATGTCATCGGCTATGTCGAGCGCAGGAAGGAGAAGGGCGTCTTTGTACAAGCCGTCACCGTTTGGAACGCCGGCAACGTCGACCTCAAGGCGTATGAGAAAGCCGTCGAGGCGCGCAAAGCTGCTGCTTGAAGAAGAATCCTACTGAAGATGCGTCTGCAGTACCATTACAAGGATGTCGCCCTCTGATTGAAAGCATTACAAGCCTCCAGGGAAAAAGCCGTGCCACAGTGTTCACGGCGAGCTGGTGAAAGCACCCTGATTTCATCTAGACATGCCACAATTTTACGCTCTACATACTAGCATTCACTAAACTTCAGCATCCCATCGCATCCTCCTTTAGCACCAAAGTCACAGTAACCCCGCAAAGACACCACTCATACCTCCAACCCCTCATACCTCCAACCTCCCCACCCTACACATCTCCCTCCCGACCTACCACAACCCACCCACAACCCCCACCGCCACTCCACCAACAAGCAGAACACTCATCATACCCACATTCATATCCATCCTTCCAGCAGCCGAGGTGTGGTAGTGGTACATAGATCCGTAAGAAGCAATGAGTCCGGCGCCAGACGAGAAGAATCTGGGTTCCAGCTCGGGGCGGGGTACTGGACGAGCGTGTACCGCTGATGCCATGAGGGAGCAGAGTAGTCCGATGAGCATGAGGATTGTGAGTTTTGTGGTGGTGGACATCGTGGTGGTGCGAGTATTGGAATTTGGGCTTTTGTGGCTTGCGGAAAGAGGGTGAGGTCTTTTGGTGACGTTTGTTGATATCGCCTGACAAGGTATCTGATGGTTTCCGTGTGGGGTTGTGATGGATTTAAGTTCGTTCGATGTTTGTAGATTGCTGGTGACGGAGTTGGTTGGAGAAGGATACAAAAAAGGGCTGTAAAGCCTCGACTTTATAATGTTGTGATGAGAACAATGTGTACGAATTAATCACATGGGACAGAGCAGATTATGAACCTCTCATGTTTTGATCCATGGTAAGGAAGTGATGCTGGGTAGCTACCACCTACGGACGGCGGTAGCGAGCGTGTAATGAGAGCAAACCCGCACAAAACCGGTCATGTACAGCACCCGTCCTGGCGGTAGCATTCATGAGTCAACTAGAGCGCAATTAGGCCTGGCGACATGATGAATGTAGAGCGAAAACAAGTAAACTGAACACGTAAAGATGTACCCACAAAAGCCATTTTCGAAATACTCTGTCATTCTACCTTACAAATTCGGCTACTGTGAGCAATATTCATTGCCTACTTATTAACATGATCCAGAATGACCTCCAGGGGCTTCTTATCCTACACCACCGTTAGCACTTGAAACCAATCATCCCATCCCCAGAATAAAACTTACCCAAAGGATATAAGTACACTGCTCCCCCCAATCCCACCTATCCCGCTCATCCTTAAGCCTGATATCGAAGCTCCACACCAGCCTCGCAAGAATAAGACGCATCTCCGACCACGCGAAGCTGACACCCACGCACTTGTGTCTGCCCACGAGGAAAGGGTGAAAGACGTCCATGTCGTCTTCGTGAAACGACTTTGGGTCCAGAAACCTTTCCGGCATGAAAGAGTTTGGGTTGCGGAAGTTGTAGGATTGGCGGTAGGCGGAGAATTGGTTGAAGGCTACGTAGGTCTGTTGATGCAGTATTAGTCAGGAAGATATCAATGTAGGAGTATGGGACGAGCTCACTCCTTCAGGAACCCATTTGTCGCACACCATGTCGCCGCCTGCAGGTGCGATACGGGGGACTCCGATGACGACGGGAGGATTGAGGCGCATGCCTTCTGAAATGACTGCGTTGAGGTACGTCAGGTTACCTGTTGTTGCCACTGTGATATCGCTCTCTTTCTGGAAAGTCTCCCTGATATCCGCGGTGAGTCGGTGCAGCACACCCCTGTGCTGTACCAGGGATCTGATGATAGCAGTCATGGCACTAGCTGATGTCTCACTCCCGGCAAAGGCGAGTACGAGCAGGTTTATGCCCCACTCAGGGCCTGTAAAGGGGTCTTTAAGGTCGCTGTACTTCTTGGTGGGCGTCACCCAATCCGGACGCTCCGTATCCATCGCTATCCTCTTCCGAGCTTGTTCAAAGCTCATCTTCCGGTGTTCCATGCTCCTTTTCAGAATGCGCTTGGGAATGATGTAGCGGAGCAGCTTATCGACGGGTGGATACATGTTGGTCGATTGGATCAAAGCAAGCCCTTTACCGAAGTCTTGGGAAATGTCGACCCAGGCATGCGCTTTGCCGTTCGCAACACAGTTCCAGGACTCGCCATATGTGAAGTCGCCGGATATGTCAAAGGTCAGATAGTTTAGCCACTTTTCAAGATCGATGGTCTTTCTTTTCTTGAGCTGTGTCATGAAAAGGTCAACGTAGCTCTCAATGATTGGTGCCTGTTCTTTCAGGATCTTCTCCGAGAAGCCATTGGCGAAGGCTCGTTTGTATCTTGCATGGTCGCCTTCATGCCAGTTCACGATGGAGTTTGGATCTGTTGGGGCCTGCTTCTTGAATGAAGTGCGGTTACGCTCGAAGGGTAGATGACCAGGGCGAGTGACGTAGATCTCTTTCAACGCACGGCTGCTGGCATACGAGAGCTCGTTAGGAGCCACACGCACGACGGGTCCATACTTGGTGTGGAATTCAGTGAGTCGTTTGTGGATCTCGCCGCGGTGTGTTGAGACGACATGAGGGATGCGGAAGGCTCTCCAGAGCAGAGGACCAGGGTAGTGGCGGAGCGGATGAAGGAACGCGTTGTAGAAGCCGTATACAAATGTGGACTTCCTATGGGTCAGTGGTGGGAAGGAACAACCCTGAAGCTGGTGGACTCACAACCAAGACAAGCAACACGCTTACTACTAACGGATGCGCCCCGCTTTGTAACAACGACGACAATGAAGGGCCAAGCGCAGGGGTTTTGCCTGGTTCTGTCATTGCGCAATATCGATAGAGCCAGACCGCTTGAATCTACGCTCGTGATGAGATTCTGCCGACGACCGTCATTGCGGTGGGAAGCATCGCAGCTGAAGTTGGTATATACCCATCGTGGTCGGACCGCCTAGTGCCCGGCTTAGTTCCCGGCTTACCACCTCGGAGCCCCGCATTAAGCTTTCAGCTTGCAGACATAGAGTTTCGTGATGAATGATGCACAGTCGGGTGATAGATCTAATAGCCCGCGCGAGCTTCTTGATAAGATGAAGATCGATCGATGTAGTATGAGAGGATCTCTTAGTTTCACTCAAGTGAGGTATTCATGAAAGCTCCTTAGAGAATGTGAATGTAGAATAGTCGACTTTCTACGACTCTACCCTTTCAAATTTCGGACGTATTGCGTCATTGTTGTAAAGGTCGTGTGCAAAAACAGGGCGAATCGAGTGTCCATATCATCCCGGTTGATGTTTCTCTTACAATGACCAAGAGAGCATTCGACTACGTACCTGTAAGCAGGAATGGGTACAAGAAAGTGAACAGCCCGGAAGTGTATTATGTCTATCACGATTTTCAAGAATATGATGACATGCTGTTGTAAGCTGCAAGATGGAGAGAATCTACTCACACTCGTTTCACTCCTACTTGCGTGGGGGGTTCTGCTCTCCCTAGCCCAAAGCTTCGGTGCATTTCTAGTCTTGTCATGCTGCAAGCAGGCGCGTACTTCAAGTACTTCGACAGGGACAAGAACTGCCGGAGGTGGGGGAGATAGGCATGTACGAATCACAGGCTGGAAAGTGGCATGCTCAACGCTGATCCAGCTCGAGATGGTGTTTGGCAATGCCGAATTACTGCCTATACCACCGGCAGAACAGTGTTTAGCATGGTGCGAAGACCCAAGACGGGTCACCATCACCATTGTACGAAGTACGGAATACGAAAGACGAGTAATTGGTATTTGATGCTAGTCGAAAGTCAACAACAAGCCTTCAAGGCGAAAACCTCCGACCTTACATTTGATGAAAATGGTCCCGACATCCAGCAGGGACCTTACAGAATCTCCCATAACCTCTATATACTTGCCTAGATCCGCTATCTAATAAAAAACGCGTCTTGTCCCACTATTGTACTTCGCTGTTCCACCTCCTCGGCTGAGGTGGTAAGCCGTTGGCTGATGGACCTCGACTACCCGGTCTGCTACCCGGACCGTCCACAGATGGCGCAGGTCGCATAGGTAGGTTCATGACATTGGAACTGCTCGATGTCCGTGTGGGGTATGAAGGTCGTCGTGGTGCTGGTTCGGGGTCGCCATTGGCTACTCTTTGCCTGGGGTCGCTGGATTCACGCTTGTGGGGAGGAGATCGCTCGCGGAGCTTCTCTTTGATGTCCGCTGCAGGAGCGGTGGGGGCGAGATGAGATTTGCGCTTGTTGTGCTCGATCATGGATATGGCCCATGCTTCGAGGTTGACAGGAGTGCGCTTTGCGGCTTGGAGGAAGGCATCGTGGTCCTGCTATGGTTAGTACACTCCAGACCCGAATTCAGCTAGGACAACTTACGTATAGCTCCTTGGGAGTTGGTCGCTCCGCTGGATCCTTCATCAAACACTTCGCAATCATGTCCTCCAGAATGGATGGGAAGGCATCGCTCTTTGGTAGCTTGGGGGAAGGTTCCAACACGATTTGCTGCAAGAGATCCAGAATACCTTGAGGGCCTCCAGCTTCGTCATCATCCGCGCTTCCAGAGAATGGAAACTTGCCAATGGCCAACTCCATAAGTGTCAGGCCAACACTCCATACATCCGATTTGACGGTGTAGGGAGAACCTTGTATCCGCTCCGGCGCCATGTATGTGCCTGTTCCTACGAAAGTCTCGGCAATAGACCCCTCGAGTTCACTTGAGACACCAAAGTCACAAAGCTTGATGTTTCCTTTTGAGTTGACGAGGATGTTCGAGGGTTTGAGGTCGCGATGCATGATACGGTGGGCGCTGTAAAGGTAGGCGAGGCCGCCGAGCACGGCTTCTGAAATCTTTCCGAGAACGTCGACACGGACGGGTCCGAATGATCGTGAGACCCAGTCGAGTGACCTGGCATGCCAGTTAGCAACTCACACCCTGCAGCATGAAGCAGCTTGCACCTACCCCACGTCCATGTACTCCATGCACATGATGACATCGCCGGAAGGATTTTGGAAGGCGCCATAGAAGTCGACAATGTAGGGTGAGTTGCAGTCGTGCATGATTCGGAGTTCTCGCACGATTCGTTTTCGGACTTCGTTCTTGGCCTCGACGTGGATAACCTGCCCCTGTCAGTCTCGTTGTGCCGTACACCTCCTGGTCTGCCACTCACCTTCCGCGCCATGATGACCTTGGTAGCAGCATGCTGCACCTTGCTGACTGTTCCTCCATTTCCGTGACCCAATTCGCGCAGCACTATCAGGTCCTCGGCCTTTAGGTCCAGCTGGAACTCAACACCAATCTCCAGGGTATCCTGCTTCTCGTCGTTGGCTCGGGCGCCGGGTATTTGGGCATCACCGGCGGAAGGAGCGGGTTTGGGGGCAGGAGCGCTGAGGGCGAGACCCTTGACGTTCTTCCTCTTCATCGTCTTCTGCTTGAAGGACGACTCGGCCATCTTGAAGGTTTGCGCCGGGCGCTGCTGTCGTGTGGGTGAGGGTGGACGGGTGCAGCAACTGCGAGGCAATGGCTACTCTGCGAAGAATACAGAGCCCAGGTGTGTAGGAGGCCAGGTGCTGGTTGTGGTTTCGAGTTTGCCGCCCGACGCTGGGTCGACGATGGTACGCCAATGACGGAAATAGCCCAAAGGAGGACAGCGTCTATTGGTTTGTCCGTTTCCGGGCGCCTGACGAGAAAATGTGCAGGTGGGCGAATGCAGGGACCGATTGGAATGGCGATGGCAGTGAGTGAAGGGCAGTGTCTCGGGCGTTGTTGACAGCAAACCAGTTCAGGAGAGGTCGTGGTCGTGTCAGTATCCAGCGCGAGTGGGGCGCGCTGGTGGGGTTGCGGTAGCGTCCAACGTCTGTAACTGAGTCTGCGAGGCTGCAAAGGGTGCAAATGAGCAGTACTGTCGCTCTGCTTTCGAGGAGAAAGAGAGTTGTCAAATACTCGCGCTCTCCGAGGGATGAGTCTTTGATAAGTCTGTATACACTATACGATGCCTTGTTCAGGAGGTTTCAGAGTCGCATGGTTCCTCGTCGCCATGCTTCACCTGCTTCTAGCGCAGAACTTCAAAGCGCGTATCTCGAATGCGGCCATGTGCCTGGCGTACAGACCAATCCGACGTCGACCGTTTGACATGCCAATCACTTGCACGAAATACATTCAAACAATCGCACGGCGTGATAGTTGCTTTGAAGGTTTGTTCTTGCAAGTCTGGCGATAACGATTATTCTGTGCATTGAAAGCTTGAGTCGTCGCTGAATCCCTAGCAAATCTAAGCTCGCATCCTCTTCAAACACAACCCGAGTACATGACTAGATACATGTAGAGAACGAGGCTAGGGAAGCCCACGTGTTTGATGCCCGTAGCTGTAGCATGCTGTTCCGAGTCGGGTATGGTCAACTTCTGTTGATGGTATCCGCCTAGCGCGTATCAGGCTGTCACGTGACGAGCGTCAGTGCGGCCGAAAGTTAACGCGGCCGATGGCTGCGCGAACCTTTGAGAGTCTACTTCTGCCCTCCTTCTCTCCTTTACCTCCATTGCGCCCGAATCTCCCTCCCGCTGAATCACCGCAGCACGATAACCTCTCTGCCGCAAAGGGCTCGCCGAAATCGCCCATCGCGCTCCATCGCCAGAACCATCAGTCCACGCGTTGTCCTTGTTTGAATCACCATGGCGGAATTCTTCGACACAATCGCCGACGTAGGCAGCGACGAGGAGGAGGATGAGGACTTTGATGGCGAGGCTGGCGACGCCGTTGAACCCAGGCCGAAGAAGACAAATGGCACCAATGGTATCGACGACTCCAGCGAGGAGGAAGATGACGACGACGAAGATCGGCTGCGACAAGTAAGCTTGGCCATACTGGCTAGAGCAACTGCAGAAGCTAACAGAAATATAGGAAGGTGAAGGCTTCATCGCAGACGAGGACGAAGAAGATGAGATCGCGGAGCGCAAACGTCGGCGCAGGAAGAGGAAGAAGAACCGCGACGAGGAGGAAGCCCTAGATGACGAGGATCTGGATCTGATCGGAGTCGAGGTTGAGCGCCCGGCAGAAGAACAGGTAAGGCATACTGTGCTGAAGCGTGGATACCGCTAACATAGGGGAAGTCGAGGTTCAAGCGTCTGAAGCGTGGCCACAAGGAGCGCGTCAAGTCCCGCGGCGTGGACGACATCTTCTCCGACGACGAAGTAAACGAAGACTACGACGAGCCGCGCGGGCGCTTAGGCGACGAATTCGACGACTTCATCGAGGACGACAAGTTTGAGGACGAGATCGAAGACGACCGCGACGTCACACAACCAGGCATAAATTTGATCACAAAGGGACTGCAAGCCGCCGGTCTAGACGAGGGAGCAGAGGAAGACTACAGGGCTGCCTTTGGTGATGGCACAGATTATGACTGGGCCCTGGAGATGCAAGAGGCGGAAGAGGATGAGCAAGCCGGTGAAGGCCGTGAGCTCCAACTCAAAGACGTCTTCGAGCCATCGCAACTACAGGAGCGCATGCTTACGGATGAGGACAATGTCATCCGCGAGACCGACATTCCCGAGCGACTGCAGCTAGCCCGGAGATCCTTCAAGGAGATCGAGCTCACACCAGAAGACATGCAAGCGCGCTTGACAGAAGAAGCCACCTGGATCAGCAACATGCTGTGGCCGAAGAAGGGCCTCCCCCGCTACTTCCTGCAGCCTTTCGAGAAGGCTGTGCGCAAGGTCCTGGAGTTTATCAATCTCGAAGACTACGAAGTGCCCTTCATCTTCAACCACCGCAAAGACTACCTTATCCACGCCCCAAGCGATAACGACGATTATGACGACATAGATAACCCGCCGCCCATGGATGCACGACCAGAGCGCTTGCTGAACCAGGCCGATCTATGGGAAGTATTCGAGTTCGACCTCAAGTTCAGGGCCTTTGCAGAGAAGCGCGACGCCCTCAAGCAAAACTACGAGAACCTGAAGAGTGTTTACTCTGACATCACTGATCCCGAGATCGAGGAGTTGGCATCCAAGGCCATTACTATCGAAGAGATCCAGGAACTTCAAGATTACCTGCACTACAAGTATTCGCAAGAGATCAACGAGGTCCGACAAGAAGTGAATGGAACACAGAAGCGTGCCAACAACGCGCGAAGCTTCTTCGATAAATTGAGGGGCGGCAAAGCCAACCAGCTTGTCAAAGCGATCGGTATCACACCTGAGGACTTTGCGAAGAAGGTTGATGGGTCGAATCGAGGCGCGCATACGATTGAGGACCCGCCATACAAGGTCGAGGAGCTTGCCGACCAGATGGCTGAAGCTCCAGAGACTGGTGCCACTCTTCTCAGGTCTACGAAGCTCTTGTTTGTTCAGGATTTGCAAATGTGCTCGCGCCTCCGTCGATACTTGCGTGGCAGCTTCTACCAGAACGCCCAGATCGACTGCATTCGCACTGACAAGGGCATGCGCAAGATCACAGAGGACCACCCCTACTACGAGTTCAAGTACCTGCGTGGCGTCACATTTTCGGATCTTCAAGGTCGACCGGATCTCTTTTTGAAGATGTTGAAGGCCGAGGCGGAAGGTCTTGTACAAGTCCGAATCTCCATGGGCAACTACAGGAACTTCAAGACAAAGCTTGAAGAAAAGATCATCTCCGAAGGTGTCAGTGAAGTCTCTGACACTTGGAACGCCCTCCGTAAGGAACTGCTCGGCGCGGCGCTAGACAAGCTACAGGTTGTCATCGCCAACGGTGTCAAAGAAACTCTGCGTGCTCGATGTGAGGATGAACTCGCCGCATCAGCAAGAGAGAACTACTACAACAAGCTTGATCAAGCGCCCTACAAGTTAAAGAGTGCACCTCTCGGATCAGTACCCAACGTTCTCTGCCTGACCAACGGTAAAGGCCAACGCGGAGACGCAATCATGTGGGCCTATGTCGAGAACGATGGGCGGGTACTTGAGCACGGCCGCTTGGTGGAGATGCGCCTTGGAAATGCGGAGCGCGGTATTCCTGAGGGCCAGGACATCGACAAGTTTGTCGACGTAATTCAGCGCCGCCGACCAGACGTGATCGGTGTCTCTGGCTTCTCGGTCGAGACACGCAAACTGTACAAGGACCTTCAGGAAATCATCGGCCAGCGAGGCCTGACTGGCCCAGCCTACGAGGACGAGGACACCGGTGAAGAGAGGAACGAGCCACTGGAGGTGATCTTGGTCAACGATGAGGTCGCTCGTCTCTACCACACGAGTGGCCGGGCTATCGCCGAGTTCCCCAAGTATCCCGCGCTAACGAGGTACTGTGTTGCTCTCGGACGGTACCTGCAAAATCCTTTGGCGGAATACGCATCTCTCGGCAAAGATATCGTTTCGATACCCTTCATCCCCAACCAAACCTTGATACCACAAGAGAAGCTCCTGGACCGCCTAGAGACCGCGATGGTGGATATGGTTAATCTCGTGGGTATCGACCTACCGGAGACCTACGACGACAAATACCTCTCAAAGTTGATTCCTTACGTGTGTGGTCTGGGTCCTCGTAAGGCCGATCGCTTGATCAAGGCCATCCAGGCCAACAGCGATGAGATTCTGTCACGGTTCGATCTACTTGGTGTGTCTGAGTCTAGGGACCTCAAGGCAGCCATGGGTCCCAAAGTTTTCCAGAATTGCGCCAGTTTCCTTTATATTCCCTACGATTCAACAGAAGAGTCCTCCGACTACTTGGACTACACCCGTGTACATCCAGAAGACTACGATCTTGCCAGGAAGATGGTCGCCGACGCCCTTAACATGGACGAAGAGGATGTTAAGGCCGAGACTGACGAAGGTGGACCCAGTGCCGTTGTTAGGAAGATGGTGCGGGAAGAGACCACCGATCTAGTCAACGACTTAGCTCTGGAAGACTATGCTGCGGAGATTGAACGCAACTTCGGACAGCGCAAGCGTGCAACACTCGAGACCATTCGCGCTGAGCTCGACAACCCTTACGAGGAGATCCGACAGATTTTCGCGCTGCTGTCTGGTTCTGAACTATTCACAATGCTGACTGGTGAGACGGAAGAGACACTCTACGAGGGTATGGTCGTACCCGTTACCATCAGGCGAACGTTCCCAGACCATATCGAGGTCAAGCTGGAATGCGGCATTGAAGGTGGCGTGTCCGAATCGGAGTTCCCGGAGGGTGTTGGCAGTGGCGGTCAAGAACCTCGCCATGTCTACCAGAGCCATCAGATCGTGCGCGCCCGTATCGTTTACCTCAACCGCAAGGCTCTCACCGCACAACTGTCGCTCCGAGATGATCTCATTCGAGCGCCAGAGAAGAAGCCCTACAATCGCGCAGCTGGAGAATGGGATGACGCTCAAGAAGCCCAGGACAAGAAGGCTGCCGAGAAGGAGAAGGAAGTTGCGTCCGGTCGGCCCAACCGTGTCGTCAACCACCCTCTGTTCTTCGCCTTCAACACCATGCAAGCCGAA